CTGGATCTCTTGAGGTGACCGTGTCTGTCAGCTGGAAAGGCTGCGACAACACTGGGAGAAATTCTTGTTACTGGAATAGAATGAGTGAAGTCACTTGCACACAAGAAAAAAACACTACGTGGAAAAACTACAAAGTTTAGCTATGGGAAAGCTTTCTTGCCTCATTGAACATCTTAAAATAGATAAATAAATTGACTGTTAAGCAGTTAGCAGCATGGTCTCTGGAAGGTCATGAAGCCTGCTTGAAAACAAGAATAGATATTGCTGACCCTTCATCTGCAGTTGCGGGAAGGGCTTGGCTAACCTGGAGTTGAGTCATCTGTATTGCAAACAAATAATAGATGGAAATGAGGTTATTCCAATGATAGGCATTTGTGAGTGTAAGCGCTGAAGCACACATTTACTAGCTTGCTGGTAAGCTTGCGTACTTAGGGCTGTAAATCAGGCTATGAAGTTGTGCCAGGGCTTGGAAAAAAACAGCTGTGGTGAAAGGACATGAGAAGCAGCAAAATCAGATCTGATTTTGCAAGTTATTTCTGTAAGTGTAGGCAATTTTAAGTACATGCGTAAACCTTACTGAGTTCAGGAGTCAGGTACACATTCATAGGTCTTTGCTGACCTGGGACATACATTACATTATCAGGATTATAGGACGTGTCTGAGGTTGAGCCAACCTTTGGCAAAGCTTGTAACATTGGCTTTCAGTCCAAAGTGCATCTATCTCCTTCATTTGAAAGAACTCCTTCATCTCTTAGTCTTGTTCCAGACTGCCCTTCTTGCTTTGAAGATGAACAGTATCTCATGCAGCTTGCTGTGTGGGTGGTCTCTGAAAATCACATTCAGACTCTGATTCTGCTCTGCATGGGTATTCCCCTGCCCTTCTTATAAGTGCAAGTGCTTCCCTTGTGTCCCAGCCAACAATTTTTCCAGTCTCCACTGTGACCTGTGCTCTGTGCCTCTTTTCCACTCCTGACTGCTGCCTTCTGTCTTGGAGATGTTTCTTCCCCCCCCCCCCCCCCCTTTTTTTTTTTTTTGTCCCTCAGAAGTGGAATAATTCTTTGAAAGTGCAGTTTCGAACCATTTGATTAAGGATTTCAATGGTCAAATGCATGTAGCAACTCAGTAGCACAGAACCTTAGTGACAGAAAAAATAAACCAGTATTTTTATTTTAAAAATGTTTAGTTTAATAGAAAGGTACGTGAACGATTTAAGAGACACCCCTTGCCCCCCAAACAGCCAATGAAACAGTGCAACAACAAACCCCCTTTCATATAAGGGAGGAAAAACAGAGCTTCTTCCTCACACTAGCAAGTGCTAGGGATTACGTATTTTAAAGCAGACAGACAAGTAACACCTATGGCCCACATTCATGATAGAAGCTAGCTTCCATGATGGCTTGTGTTCAGCTTTGTCATCCCAGGATGATCACTGGGAAGAAACCAGCTCTGAGGCACAAATGTTCTTTTCCCTAAAATTATATCTTATGTGCTGTTTTGGTTACATATCCTCTGCTGACTCTTATTTATTTTCTGTTAACATACCTCTCAGCAAAAATTGAATATGTATTTGTGTTTTCCCAACTGTTACAGAAAGGAAATATTCCTTGGTATGTTAAGGAGACAAGACAATGAAAAATATGTTATACTGAAGTTACGGAAAAATTATAATGGAAATTTTCTGCAATTTTTTAATTCTGATTTTTTTTTTTTTCTGAACAACTTGCAGAGCCAGTGATTTAGCTGGAGGGAATGGTTAATAATACATTTTTATTAGCTTCATCTAATTGACAAAAATGCATATATTGACAATTCAGATTGAAACAGTATATAATATTTTTTGTGGTAATGAAGCTAGCTTTGGGGGATATTTTTTTGACAAATTTTGGTAGTTTCATATTGCAAACAGGCTTAAGCAAGAAACTAGTATAATACCTGTATTTATTCCTATTTGATTTCTTTCTGGGGAAAAGAAAACCATGTATTTCTTGTTTAAGATTAGCTCAGATAACTGAGACTATTATGGATGCAGAAATGTAGTAACGACATTGAGGATCTTTGATCCTGGTCAGCAACAAACTATTTGCTTAGCAATGCCAGAAGTGTCCAGAGAAGGGCAACGAGGCTGGTGAAGGGTCTGGAGAACAAGTCTTATGAGGAGCGGCTGAGGGAGCTGGGGTTGTTTAGCCTGGAGAAAAGGAGGCTGAGGGGAGACCTCATTGCTCTCTACAACTACCCGAAAGGAGGTTGTAGAGAGGTGGGTGTCGGTCTCTTCTCCCAAGTAACTAGTGATAGGACGAGAAGAAATGGCCTCAAGTTGTGCCAGGGGAGGTTTAGATTGGATGTGAGGAAAAATGTCTTTACCGAAAGAGTGGTTAAACATTGGAACAGGCTGCCCAGGGAAGTGGTTGAGTCACCATCCCTGGAAGTATTTAAAAGACGTATAGATGAGGCGCTTAGGGACATGTTTTAGTGGGCATGGTGGTGTTGGGTTGATGGTTGGACTCGATGATCTTAGAGGTATCTTCCAACCTTAATGATTCTATGATTCTATGATTCTATGCACACTCCCACCCAAACTCCCATATTCATCTATATAGAATTTTAGTGGAATGCATAGAAATGAGTTTTTGCCCTCATTCTGAGGGGTTTCTGTTGATGCTGCTGTTATCTTTGATCCTAAGTGCCGGCGTAGTATCTTAGTGACCCATCACAAACTGTTGTATTTATGGCTGTCCCCCTGTATTAAAAAAACTGGGTTTGAATTCTACTGAATTCGTGTATGTGCGTTTTCAGGTTTATTCTCATAAAATAACCATATACTGGGGGTAGGGGGACTCCCTTCCATCTCACTTCAGGAATCTAACTTGTGATTTGTTGGATAGCATTTGAGAGAGAGAAAGAGGGAGGCTGCCTGACTCTTGAATAGATGCTTTGAGTCAATTCTTGAAGATTTTCCATTCTCCCTGGGCTCTGAAGGTAATGGCTTGTAATAGATGGTCAAGGTGGGCAGCATTGATGCCTAATCCTGTTACATGGGAATTTCCTGCAAACTCATTTTTCTTCTTGTAAATACCAAAATATTCATAGAAGAGTAACTGTTCATAGCGTTTGCTTCCATCCATACAGCTGGAGAGTCAGACCTAGCACGGTCCTGAGACTTCAGATCCTTAGTTCTCACCTCAGCCTCCTGTCTGCAAATGTAGGTCGGGAGCAGTGCGTTAATATGCTTTTCCAGAAGCCTATTTACTTTTGTATCTCATTATAGTAATTTTCAAACTCAGAAACCACCAATGTACAGTGTCACTGGAGATCTGTTGACCTTAAGCTCAGCTAACAAACCATGCTGTGAAATCTTGGGATGCCCTTTCATAGGTGTCTTTTTTTGGCACTTCTTAAAAGGTGAATTCAGTTTGGCCTTAAGCTAATGGTCACTCTGGAGAACCACAACCCAATTTTTCACCCTGGTAAGACTTACCAAAAGTTTTAGGACGGGGACTGCTCATTTGCCCAAGTTATGTGTGGTATCTGCATCAATATACTGAGTGTCTTCCAGTAGGCTGTCATTGCAGATTAAGAATTTTTATTGCATCTCACTGAGGCCTTCGGTTCACCCTGATGCAGTTCTCCTCTGGGAACTACCTGTACTCTAGCAGTGCCAAGTTGTGGAAGTGAATTAGTGAGCTGTTAATGGACACCGATTACAGGGAAAAAAAGGGGTTGCAAAATAAAAAAAATGCCTTGAAGTGCAAGGTTCCTGTAGAAACTTGTAATACTGTAATGCAGTGAAGGGATGTATTCACAATGAGAACAAATTGCTTTTCTCAGTGATAACTGTCTCGTATTTATGTAGCATTTAGTAACAACCCAAGGAAAGGAGGAAAATTTCTCTTGCCCTTCAGATAATACTTACAGTCTTGCTTAAATCTAGAACTCACTGTAAGCTTCAGATAAGCTACTTGGTGTAGGAGCTCATGGTATACACAGAACCAAGTAACTTGGGCAAAATATGTCTGACATCAGTGTTATTCATAAAGCACATTTTTATCAGCTGCACTGTAGCTTAAGGTTGGAGAGGACTGGCAGCATCAAGGAATGTCCTGAAGGTCTGCAGAAGCCACTGAGTCTGATAGCACCCTCTAGATGGTTGACTTTATCTGGCTAAAGCAATGCTTAAATGGTTTATTTTCCCAGAGGGGTGAAGCTGCTGAATGGTGCAGCTGTAACGAGCTAGGTGGCTGGGAAAGGAGCTGTGAGTGAGCCACTGGGGTGGCTGTGAGTTGGTCTCCCTCTGGGAGGCTGCTGTCTGGGGGAGAAGGCAAAAGCGAAAGCGATGGCCTCATGGCTGCGCCTCTCCTCTTGCTATTAGAAATAACGCTGCTCTGTGGTAGGAGGCAGAGGGCAGGTAGAAGGAGCCTTTTGTTTTCTTCTCCCCAGTTCTTCTGGAGGAAGAACAGCTGAGGAATGCGAGAGGTTCCCCCCTGGCAGGTCCCCTGTGCCCGATGCCCCCCTGGGTCTCAGGGAGTTGCTTGTGCCTCAAAACTTCATCTAGGATTCTTCGCGGATTAAAAAAACAGAAAGGAAAGAAATCCTCTCCACTGTGGTCAATGTGCTATTTTGTCTACAGCAATAGAGAGAGAGATTTCATTGTGTAAACCTGTATTTAATGAGAGGGGGTGTGCTCAAACAAACGAACATTACTGTAATTTATTTCACGTTACTAATGAGCATCATAACAGCTGTACATTTTAAATAAAGTACTCTCCCTGCTATCTCTTAGTGGGTTTTTGTTACTTCTGCTGTCATTATTGCATTGTTACTGAGAAAAATCTCGTCTTACATCTAGTTTTTCCTGTGGTTGCACTTTGCCTCTTTTTCCTGCCATTTAAGGTAGCAAGAGAGAGATTGAGAATAGTAGTTGCAGAACTGGTTTCACACTGATAAGTTAAATCTGTTATAAAAAGATGCCACATTGTTTCCTAATTTTTTAAATTATATTTCAGGTACCTCTTATATCTACAAATAAAAAGGGACATTTTCCATGGCCGTTTGCTGTGTTCTTTTTCTGATGCTGCCTACCTGGGTGCCTGTATTGTCCAAGGTAAGTACAAGCAGCAGACTTTTTTAAATACTTAATTCATAGATGTGTTCAGTAGAAAGAGAAACTCAAAACTGTTGTGGGAATATAGCTAGCAATAACATATATTTTTTTTAGTTGTACTGTTTCCCTGCATTGACATGCACTGTAAAGTGTTTTAAGTAATTCAGCCACTTAGCCAAGTAAAACCAAACTGGAACTTAAAAAAAATTTAAAACCAATGGGTTGTCTTAGCATTTAAGTGAAAAAGTATGGAATCAATGTTAGATTCCAGTTCTAAACAAAGCAAAATTCTGTTCTGAATCCTTAATGTAACTGTAGCCTATTCCATTTGAACTAAGCAGGAAAAAGTGTCATTCAGTGCCCTTTCTTAGAGCAAAGACGACCTGTGTGATGATGGAATATCTGGCAAAATAGTAGATGTCATTCAAGGAGAAAGGTCTTTTTTTTTTTTTTATTCTCCCCCTCTTTCTCCCCATCATTTTCTTAGGGCCAAATTCAGGTGTATGTCTTGGATTGCACACAGAGAAATAGTTAGCTAGGTGTCTGATGAGGGACTTCATATGTGTGGAAGTCCGCTTCATTCTGCCTTAACATGAATTAAGTTCTTAATGCGTTATAAGGCAGCATATCCAAACCAAGATTTAGTCTAGACCTTATTAAAGGGGGCTCATTTAGAAAATTAAAACACCAAATGCCATGTTTGGGTACCTAAGTGACACATCTTCTAGAAGAGGAATCAAATACTGTGGGCCACCTTAAATAATGTTACAGCCTGTGTTTCTCTGCTAGAACAGAATTTAACCAGTCCATATCATTGAGGATAAATCGGTGTAAAAAAGAGGAGAATCTGGAGTGCATTGTTTTAGTTCTGCCTGGTACCAGAATGACAGGTACTCAAAGGGGGAGCATTACCTATGCGTCTGTTTTACAGAGCATGTTTCTGCCACAGAAAATAGTTTAGGTTTGCTAATTACTGCTGCAGTTAATAAACAATGAACTTCATTTGAAACTTATTGATTGAAGTGGCAGTTATAAAGATTTGTTGTTTCAGTTAACTATCAGTTCTTCAAAGTAGCATTTCTTGAGAGATGCTGGATTCTTACCACTCATGGAAGTGTCTTGAATTACCCCGTATTTAATGACTTTTTTCCTTATTAACTAATGTTGCAATTGAATTTTTCTGTTTTGTTTTGTATTTTGGATCTGTTTAGCTGAGCTTGGTGATTATGATCCTGATGAACACCCAGAGAATTACGTCAGCGACTTTAAGATTTTTCCCAAGCAGTCACAAAAGCTCGAGAAGAAAATAGCTGAAATGCATAAAAATGAATTCAGGTAATTTAGAATGCTCTTTGGAAAAAAGACAGCTAAGAAATACTTGTATGTGTTTCCAAATAGTGTATGTTAACTTAGGAGGCTTTGTTCTTGGATTATAATAGATGCTCTACCAATATACTGTCTGATATGCTGTATTTGAAAATGCGGTTTCAGCTTAATGAGTTTTCTTTTCCTGTTAACCTTCATTAATCATAGCTGATTCCTGCATGTGCTGGTAATTTAGACTGCATTTGCTTGAAATGTAGGTCTGGTTAGTGGGAGTGGCTCACATCATGAGTGCTACTCTGGTTGATTAGTGGAATAACGTCTTTCATTTAGGGATCACACGTCTTTTGCTGTGAAATTTCTGTATGTAGTGGAATTATAAAATTCTTGATAGATATTGACCTGACTGAAACTGTAATTACATTATTTTATCTGTAGGTTGTTAACATAGCGGTGAATTGCACAGAAATGTGTTTAAATAACTTCTTTGGAAGACTAAGGAGGTGAGATTCAGAGCTCTGCACGCCCTTTTTCTGTCCTAAACTTGTAATAGTGTGACAAAGGGGAATGGAGAAAGATAGATTAATCAATCTTTGGTTTCAAAGTTGAATGTGTCCCGAAGTATGGTGTTATAGGAGAGAAGTAGCAGTGCGTTGTGCAACTATACCCTCTTCAGGATTGTCAGCGAATGACACGCACAGTAGTCGTGACGGTGGCTTGAATGATACCCTAGTCATTTCGCGTAGTTGAGAATAGTCCTTGGGAAGCTTGGAGAGGAATAGGATGTGAAGAAAATCAAATGAAAGCAAACGACTAATTACATAAAGTAGAAGGACAATTTTTATTCAAAGATTACAAGAGTCTTTGCACTTGCTTAAAACCCCTATGTTTTGTTTTCATATTGCGATATATGTAAATGCTTTGCATAAGTATGTGAATACTATTTATACCAAAAATAGATCGTGAGACACCAAATTCCTGGGGAAAAAAAAAAGAAAACGAAAAATTCCTTTTCAGAGGAGTTAAAGCTTAAAACACCTCTTTTTTCATAAGCCTATCAAATACGTTATTCAACCAAAGTGCAACATTCATGACAGTAAGCTTGCCAGTATTAATGTGTCTTCTCTTTTTTCCTTCCTGAAACCTATATACTTTGTTTATATTTCTTTCAGAGAAACAATGTTTTAAATGGCACAGCTACATCTGATTAAATTTTGGAGCAGTCCAGGCTGCACTTTACACAGACCCATAGAAACAGCCTTTTAAAAAAAGAAAACAGAATTCTCTTACTTTCAGTATTGTTCCATACAGTGGCTGCAGATTTCCAAAGGATAAATTCAACCTTTAAAAACTAAGATCTTTCATCAATTAGGCCAAGGTGCAATTAAAAAGATTTTGATCAGTTCAGTCTTTCAAGAACAGGCTAGTCCTTTATTTAAAGTTAGGAGAAGGGAAGGAAGGGTGTTTAGCCAAAGCTGGTATTTTGTATTTCATAGCCCTGGGAGAGATACATTTTTCTGTGCTGTTTTTTTCCCTTGTGCATGATTCTGCCCATCCATTGTGAATTTAATCTGCTAGTTCCTCTATTTTGAATAACCAGGCACATTTTTAATCTCATTTTTAAAATCCCCTTTCCTGTTAGTGCAATGTTGCTGATCCTGTGACAGTAAATGCTATAAGCCTTCGCACAGGTCCCTCTGGGATTCTCCTAGTTGTGGATTCCTCCCATCGATAGCTGCTCAGCATGTGCGGATGTCCCCTGGATTTCTTCAGTAGTCTTGGTGAGGAACACTATTCATTGTTGCCTTTTGGAAATCAGATGGTATCAACCTGACTTCTTTTGCCTGTGGATCTGCTGACTCCTAAAAAGAATTCCAGGAGGTGTTTGAGGCATAACTATAATTTATAGCAGAACTCTTCTCATATATCCCACTTATACGTATATGTTCCTTAATTCTTTTTCTATTCTGGATTTTACCGATTTGTATGTTATGAATGTTAGGCTCAGTGGCTTATAGCTCTTTGCAGCCCTCAGGAACTGTTTTCTTTCTTTTCTGTTTTCTTTCGCTTATGTCAGCATCTGGTGTGCCTTACCTATTTGTCTGGTTATACAGTTTCAGAGCTGTCCGGATAGCTACTACCTGGCAATTTTCCCCATGCAGCTCTGTCTTCCCAGAAATGATCATCCTACTACATTTTTTACATCAGACATTCATTAGTCACATAGAAGTTTTACCTTTTTCCTGATATTTAATTCCATGAATCTCTATTCTAGTGGTACAAATTAATAAAACAGATCTGTCATGTAATGAACTATATGTAGAGAGGTCCAGTGCTAGATGATCAGATTTCCGTATCTAGCTGGAAAAAGATGATTAGAAAAAACACTGAGCTTACAGGCTTCTGTCTGGTATTGATCAGCACATCTGTTTCACTGCATTCAGCAAGTTGAATTTTCTGATAGGAATTAATATTTTGCTGCTCAATGAGTATTTTTAAAAACGCTGCAAAAGGTTCCCCTGGCCTTTTTGTAACAAGATTCTTGAGTGACGTGTTAGCTGAGAGCTAACATGTGAGGAGAGCAGAAGAGACTAAGAGCCATTTTAATCCAGCTGCCATTCTGCTACCTTCAGAAGAGTTACTTCTGAGTTTCAGCACTGCACGTGAGTCTGGCTCTTTGTTTTCTTCACACGTGTAAATAAAGAAAGATGATGACATCTCTGTCCTGCAGCAGGCTCCCATATAACCAAAGCCCTGTGACTTGGAAGGGGCCAGTTTTTCGCTGAATCCTGTCTCGGCATCCTCAAGGCCTGTTTACCGGGCACATCTTTTCTTCTGTCCCACACATGATGGAAGAATTTGCCTTTTGAAAGGCATGTCACATGACGACAGTGAGGGGAATGTCTGGGAAGCAGCAACAGGGTACTGTGACAGCTGCCAGTGACTTAGTGACTCATCTTGTGTCAGTTCGAAGCCTTGTTCTTATTAATTAAAACAGATGTATGACATGGTGCCCCTATTTCTTATGCTTTGTGGCTGTGAGAACATAACTGGATTTTACCAAAATGTGATCTTTTATGTGACTTTCCACTGTACCTAATTGCAAAAATAGAAATGTGGCAGATGGAAATGCATGTCAGCTTTATTGAGCTGTGATTAATTGTCTTGTGAATTTTAATTAATTATTCTTCCTTCATCGAGAAAGGGAGGGGTACAGGAATAATTTCAGTGAACCTTACCAGTGGTGGGGCAAACACCTGCCTTGATTTCATCACAATGCATATTCTCATTTTCCTGTCATTCCAAGTAAGTCCTCTTTTGAAACACAGTATACCACTGAGATGTGAAGAGATAATGCTCTTATGAGTTAAAATCTTAGAATATATGAGGATGCAGTAGGAACTGATGAGACTTGGAGACTTGTTCTTAAAGGAATTAAAAATTTATTCGAATGTTATGTTTTTGGGTATGGTTACAACAAAGCATAGCTACTGAAGTAATAGCTACTTGCATTTCTGTTTCCCTGCCACTCTTAACGGATTGGAAAAGATTTGGGCCATAAAAATCTAGATATTCTGTGGGTGTATTCTGGTATACCTTCTTCTTCAAGTGAAGTGAATGCTAAGGTCTCTCCCCAGGTTCTTCATTTGCATGTCCCTTATCCCTTTTAGTTAGATGTGTGGAAGTGTTTGTAAGGTTGCATTGTAAATCACATCAGTGAAATGATCCAGGTTAAAAATAACTTACTTTCTTTTACTTGACTTCCACACAAAAGTACATGGAACCACGCGTTCAGTTCTCACCTGTTTTGGCAGTATTAAAGGTACTTAATACACTGCACTGTGCTCAGTTTATAAAGCCATAGTTCATTTTTACTTCTGGTGACCAAAAGCCCCCAGCTTAACAAAAATATGGTGAAGAATTCTGTATAGATTTGGGGAAAACCAAAACAAAACTAACCCATCAAATGAGGTTAAGGAGAGTCATGAAATCTTCTAGGTGGATGAGAGTAAAGCTGAGTGAAAGGTTAATTCTTCAAGCATAACAGCAGGGATTGCTAGGATTACTGGGTTTTTATGTGAAAGATCACTCAGGTGATCTTAATAATCTCTTTGGGATTTGAGGTTTTGTTTTGTTATGTTTTTTTCTTAACATATCAGGAGTTTGCTCCTTTCAGATGTTCCCGAAACAGTTGTACTTTTTCCATGGTGGAATTAGTACTGTTTATTTGTTTGGGCAACCTGCATTAGTAGCTGGCCCAGTTTTGCTTCTAGCTATTGCTATTAGATTTGAAAACAATGACTGACAATATTGAAAACAACGGACTTCGTACGTATGTATGCACCTGTGTCAGTACTAGTTCCAAACTGACTTCTGTGTTGTTACAACTGTGGGATTTGCTTCAGATGACCAAACAAAACAGATGTTTTTAGTGCATAGAATCATAGAGTCATTAAGGTTGGAAAAGACCTCTAAGATCATCGAGTCCAACCATCAACCCAACACCACCATGCCCACTAAACCATGTCCCAGTCACATTCCTTTCTCCCTTTTCCAAGACAAAAACTCCTTCTTGTGAATTTATATCAAATCTTATGTCCTTTAACAGAACATTTGTTACTCTGATAAAATTCCCTGGCTTTTGAAAGATACCTGTCAGCCAGAGCTCCCTGAGGCCAGACACCTGAAAATACAGAGATTTCCAAAGAGAAGATCCACATAAATCCCTATCAAGGGAATTTATATTTGTAGGAATCATGGGATTTTTCCCCTTTTTTTCTTTTTTGAAGGACTCAGTGGTTGAAAATAAATATTTTTTTTTTCCTATCCCACCTGAAAACTAATGATCTATTTTTACTTATTTCTGATACGAAATATTATGCCATGTAATTTATATGAAAGTGTTATGTAAACAGCCATTAATTTATCTGAAAGCCCTATGCAAACATTAACTTTGCCCAGTAAATTATAGAGTTACATGACCTGTTCAAATGCCTGTTTCCCAGGCTGAC